ACCCTTAACAATCGCACAACAAGCCGGACTCCACCCTACTAGATCAAATCACTCCACCAACCAGGGTCGACCACGTGCAYAGAGAAAYAGAGCACGGCAGCCCCCTCTGTCTATGCCCCGTCCGTTAGTCGGACTCTCCAACTGYCGACATRTACGCCTTCAGCCTCGTGGCTGAGCCCCCTTTTATCAAGCAAGACGAGCCGAATCGTGTGAATCTTATATTGMGYCGCRGTGAAGTATCCGGCTTCMWRRCCGCATACGCAGGAAGGAGGCCGAGACCAATCCCATCAACGCACAGAGCGAGGCTCTGACCCATTAGGTAATCTCCTGCTCAACGGCTGSCSTCACCTACTTCCACCTGAAAAAYGAGCAGCACGGGAACGAATCTTTCGCCRAAACACAGAAAGAWACATTCCTTCGGTYTTCGCCCTTCCTGCGCGCAACCTTCCCTATCAAGCTCTAATTCTAATCAACTACGCTMAGAACTAACCATACCATCAGAATCGCCTGGCCCCAAATWCCCGGTCTACCATCTTCTCCCACCTGTCTCCSTCTWCTAGTGAGCRAAAACRATGATCTTCCATGCCCCCTTCCTMCCCCTAGTCGACGCCTTCGCGCAACTCGTTTCCGTCATAGCTCCCGCCCTACTCCTCCTCCTCTCATTCTRACCTTATCTCTGGATTCGCYTGGGGCAAAAACTCCGGGATTGTACCCTACCTCTCTCGATTCCGCCACGGCTCGCAGGAGCTATGCTCTCCTTCCCTCGCCCGTCCCAACACCTCGCTATCTCTGGTTGGATTCACACGTACCCGGCGCCGCTTCGCACCCGGGTTCATCCTACCCTGCTACCTGCGTCCGCCTCCCTTACTTCTGTTGTCGTCACCCCGGCCTTTTTTTGGCAGCTCCTAACGCAGCCCAACCCGTTCCTCTCTGCCTCCCCAGTAGCGCAACCCCCGACGTTTTCGAAAAAGCGCAGGAAGAAATCGGTCACTAACCGACTCGATTAATCTTTCGCCCCCATAACCTAGCCCATCGAACGACTCACACGCAGCTGCGACGTAGCGGCCCCTCCACTGAGCCCCTGCTGGTCCGCTCCGCCTTCTCAGGGCCCCAACGGGTACGCTCACACTTACCCTTCTCACACCAGGCCCCGGCGGGCAATCGGGCACCCATGGATAACCCACACCACTAACTTTCCTCCGACTTACGAGCTAAGCCCCCACTGGTCACGCACACGCTGGCACTTCGCTTCATCCCTCACCTATCCCATAGGCGTACCGACTGAGTCAGACCCCCTGACTCTATCGCAGTCCTCGAAACTAACACCGGCCTCGCCTCTGAGGCAATGGCTTTTTAACCTCCCAAAATAAAATTAAAAAAAATAGAAAATATACACTGGCATATATATAAAAGCACCTTAAAACGGAAGACGTGGGGCTGTTGGTACCTCACCAGTCCCGTAAGTCGGGTCCATCGCCGCGTCCGGCAACAAAACTGAGGGGGATAGCCCCGTCGGGCCCTCAACCCCTCGGTCCCTCCCATATTGCTTCGCTGCTCCCATGCTGTCGCCTCGCTGGCCTCGATCCCCACACCTCTGTTTCATGAGTCCAATGTCGTAACCTATAGGGCTAAGCCCAAGCCTGAGATTGGTTCGCGCGGAAGCCAATAAAAGGTGGTGTGGCGCCGTGCCTGGACCTGGGAAAACAGCCCGGCCTCACTCCTGCTGGGTACCCGCGCCGGCCTGCCTAGTTTACGTCATGGCCACCTCGCGCCCCGCCTCGTACGTCAAGCCTACCATTAGCCAACCTTGCCAAAAAGGAACGAATCCTGTATTCCTTACTCTAATCCGTAACAAAATTCGGGTTGGTCAACCAAACCGACTGCCCAATCAATTGGAAAAATCACACGCGCGCCCTAAAACTGCGCGCCCACATACCCCCTAACTTAACCAAGGCAAATCCCGAACGCGGCCGTGTCTCGCACGACTTATTTCGACGAAACCCATTTTTTCTGTCAGCTGCAAAAAAACAGGGCGTATACCCTTATAAGGGTATTCGCGCAGACAACCTACCGGACCATATTAAGCGACGTCCCCATGGCTTCGCCTAATCAAAAGACTATAAATCCATCCAAATCCCCAAATGCTGACGAGAAAGGAACCAATCCGATTAGCCGACAGACTCAGGTTCCAACAATCCGTGCCTACACAACTATATGCTACCAGGGTTTCAACCTGGGTCCCCACTGCCCTAACATTAGGACGTTGGTGTATTACCCATCAATACTACAGCATAAGTTCCAGAGGCCTCCTCGAACCATCCTCTCCCCCTTGCCYTAGACAAACGCCGGCTTCTCGTTGAGTGCCCCTGTTAGGCTCTTCCTCATAAGCGGAGCCCTCCCCAGGGACGCGGGCCTTAGACGAGACCTTTAGAAGACRTTCTTGCCTCSCTCCCGARAATCCTCACAATCAAACACATATACATATATACACTTAAATCTCATCTCAGCTCCTTCTGCAGTCTAGTACAGAAATGCTAGGTCTTCATCCTGRCCCACCATAGTCTAGTTGATCGAGCCAGATCTACGGCCTACCGCATTGTTGCTTTAGCGGTAGTTCCTTCGTTGATTATGCAACGATAGGTTTTTTCCTGATAAGCATTCAATCAGGACTCCTGAAAGACTCGTCTTATACTCCCCRCCATCCCACCGGAGTAATTCCCTGGGTCRTGCATAACCCSTTAAACTCTTACCCCGTTGGTAGACGTGGGTCCGCAGCCAGGTTGTGCTGGCTTGCAGCCATCCAATAGGGGTTGCGCCCTAGAGGTGCTARCCTTTACCGTTTAGCTTGGTATTCCTCAATATGCCTTAGKATTAGCACAAGTGTCTAGACGGTGCGTCGCAAAACAGACCACAGGCCCGCTGCGGSACTACGCAGGGGTCTGTCTCACTTYTTAAAGGTGTTTACCAGCTCCCTATGGGACAACATAGAAAGCACGGCCCCTTYTCACGATCAYAACGAAATTCACCGCTAGGCTCACACAAGGTCGTGGCCTACTGACCTGATCAGAGACAACAGACCACACATCCCACGACATCTTAATGCACTGACTTGCAACCTTCTCAGTTCCACCAATGATCCAAACCATAATCCTGGTTCCTCTCATCAGACTTTATCAACTCAAACTTTGTTTATCATGCCCCTAAATCTATTAACCACCTTTCACACAAAGGGGGTCTCTCCCAATAGGTCTCCCATCCATCCCTCCCTTTTTAGGATGAGCTATCACGCGACCCTTTTCAAAGCACCTTCCTTTTGAAGATGAGTCTCCCTATAAGCAACATTACCACCTTCCTTAATCTGAAGGGGTCTCAACCATAAAACCACTCAAACTGAGAGGCCTACTTATGGGTCCTCTCCACAACTCAACCTCGAAACAACTCAATTGAGGGACCTGCTTATGGGCCCTCTTCGCAACTCAACCATAAAACATCTGGCATGGTAAGTATTCGAGTCTCAATGACTCGCAAAATCCATTAGAATCCTCACGCCCCTGTCACAAAACAAGCGCACTGCCTCCCCTTATACTCGGCCCTTTCATCCGCCCATAGGCAGATCGTACGAGTATACCGAAGAGTAGACGGTATCCCACATTCACACAACACAAAACATATGAGATGTATCCCACACATCTCTCACACAAAGCCATCATACATTGGGATAAAGCCACACGTGCGGGAGTGATTGTGATCATCACAGAATAAGTCACACAGGGTCTGAAGTCAAAACATACTCGGGAGCAAAATATCTCCCCCAAGGATGCAGTACAAATACTTAACCCATCATCTCTCTCAACTGAGGAGAACTCATGTCCTCAATGTACAACTCGTAGAATATACTCGGGGATAGGATGTCTGCCTCGAAAACAACACAAAGTACTCTGTCCATTGTCTCGCTCTGCCGAGTAAACTCGTGTCCCGAGTGTTACGACCTCTCGGAACCTACTCAAAAATGCAGGTAGAAATCTAAGGCGTAACCAGATAGTCGCACATATCACACAACTGTACCTCATCTCTTAAATTGTATCACACAAAAAAAGGCTCAAAACCCATCAAGCACTGTCATCTATGTATGTACAAATGGACAGGACTTACTCGACTGACCCCAAGCATGCACACCTCTAGGATCCACCCGATCAACTCAAAGTGTATACACCTCTAAACCGACCTCTGCGTGCGAAGGAACTCTAGTCCTACTGACATATAGACGGACCAGCCCCTACTCACTCATGACCTCCTGGTTTTGTCTATATAGCTGAGCCCTACCCCCATCTGGAGCTCGCTCTACCACTCGACCTCGCCTATCATACATCTTTCCACCTCTCTCTGTCACTTTCCGAACTGCCTTGTCCTTGAGGAACTTTGGACACTCAAGGGCTCTGTGTATGCCATGTTCGCAGAAGAAGCACTGATCATCTGACCTCCTTTGGTACCTTCTCTTCTTCTTCTGGGATCCTGGCGACGACGCTGCCTCGCTGACCTCTCTGCTCACCTCATGACTCTAGGGCATGCTCCACGACTCCTCTGATCTCATCCCCAGCGCCTGGGTGCTTGGCCCCGCTCGCATCTCATCCCCCTCAGGCCTGTACTCCGGAGTATTCAATCTCTGTGGCCTCCCCTCATGGGCCTCCTCCATCACAGTCGCCCTCTCGTCCCTATGCGGCTCTGATGGCTGAGGAGTCACGGTTGCCGCTGGTTCACTCATAACCTCTTGTTGCTGCTATGAGATCCGCCCCCCTGAGTCAGCCTTTGTGGCCCCGGAGCCCCATTGCGTCTTCAATTCTCCCATTTCCAGCACACGCTCCGGGGTCTCCTGCCTCTGAGGCCCCCCTGATGGCATATCTAGCTCCATGGCTGCCACTATCTCGTCCAGGCATGATGCCTCTTCCTCCATCGTCTCAGGCTCAGCGGCCACCACTGCCCCTGTAAGGGTGCCTACCCGCACTTCTAATAGAATCGTAGGGGACCTTTCCGCGGAACTTCCTCCTGCTGCTGGCGACTGGGGCCTCTGCGCTGGCTCCTCCGCGGGGGTCTCAATTACCATAGGGGTCACTTGCTACGAGGCCAACTCCGTGGGAACTCTGAAGCTGAAACTCTTCTCCTCGGTCTTCTGCCTTGCTTCCGCCTCCACTGAATCCAGGAATACCTTCTTCATCCCCCCTGTCGTCCCTCCCTGGCCAAAGAGTCCCTGCACCTCCTCTCCCTGGATACCATATCGACTCTGCTCCGTCCAGTCCACCACCTTGGTGGCCGAAAGTCTCTCCACAGCCGCCGCCATATCTTGGAGCCTCCTTTCCCATTCAGCTTCTTTGGCTTCCATACGAGACTTCCAGGCTTGGTTCTTCGTCTTCTCTTCCGCGAGTTGAGTAGATAGCTGCTCCACCTCCAACCTTGAGACCGCCAGCTCATCGCTAAGCATGGTGTAACGCTGAAACAACGCGATCGCCGCCTGGCGTATCCTTCTATCTGTACGCTCGATCGCCATCCTGGCGGTTAAAAATTCCAAGTCCCCAGTCTCCCGTGCCTCGTCCGCCCTCTCGTCCTCCCGTCCTGCCTCTCGTGACCTCAAGAGGGCGGCCTCCCTCCAATCCTCGTATCTAGCCCATGCCTCGCCAACCCTCTGCTCACTGGTCCCGGGGTCGACCGGCGGTGTCGGCGCCTCTCCTGCAGCTTCCATCCTAACTTTCTTCTCGTATATTTCAGCAATGCGCGCCTGCACCCTCACGGACTTTTCCTCAGCTGTCTCCCCTGATGGCCTCCCTGCTCGCGCCCCGTGGCCCCCTCGCAGCGGGACTCCCGCACTCACTCCCCCTCCTGCAGGCGGTAACTCTGGCGGTGGCTCCTTGGGTGTCGGCACCTCAGTGTCCAAGTGCTCAGCCGCATGCTCAGCTAGCTGTGGTGGCACAATCGTATGTGTCCTCACCCTCTCGCTCTCCTCTCGCTCCCCTGCTTAGCCTGCTTCGGGCAGCGTAATAGTTTCCAATGGCGGTACTGGAATCTCCTCGCTATCCGGCTCAAGAATTCCCTCAGGCCAGTACTGCCACACCTGCTCCGGGATTGGGGTGGGAACAGGGGTATCGTCCCCAACGGTAATAACCTCCTCGGTCCGTAGCTCCCCTGACTCGTGCGGCTCAGCTTCCGGCTCAGGGCCTGGTGGCTCTTCTGCCGGCTCGTACTGTGCCAGTTCAACCGGATCTCCTCCCAGCTGCGAAGTCCCCCATTGGAACACATCGAGATGGGCCTCCAGCCTATCGAGCCACGTCCTCAACAGTACAGCCTCCCTCTCCTCTGGCAACTTCGGCGACGGACCCCGTACGTCACTGCCTGTGATTGGCCAAACTCCACTAGCTCAAGTCCACGAGTAGGGGGTAGCTCCGCTACCTGAGCTGGCCCTGCTGCCTGAACTGGTTCCGCAGCCTGCGCCGGCTCCGCTGCCTCCTCCCGCTGTGCCGAAGCCTTTCGGCCTCTCCTAATCGCTATGGCCCCCCTTGTTTCTGGGTCTCGACGTGGCCTCTTACTCCTCTGCCGTCTTTCCACCCTGGGCTCTGGTCTCTCCGGCTCTGGCCGTCGAAATGCCTGTCTCAGCTGAGCCTGGCAGTCCTCCCAATCATGCGCTCTGTCCCGAATTTGCCTCGCCAGTGGCCTCTCTGCCCTTCACGTCCAGAGGGGCAACGTCTGCATCCACTCCTCCTGCCAGGTCCCCTGATCGCGCATATACTGCTCATAGGCTGGAATGAACTCCTCTGCATTGCCTTCCTCCAGCCGAATGGGAAAACCATCACGTCCTGGTGGTGAGGCCCTCAGTCTCTGCATCCTCGCCTCCACGACCTGCCAGGTCAAAGCCTCCTCTCGGATGTGCGCGATAGGCTCCTCGAAACGCCCAAGTCCTCTCAGATTCCATATCCTTTCCTGGGTAGACCATCCCTGTCGTGCCGCATGAGCGTAGTAGGCGTCCAGAAAGAGCTCTACGTTATCATCGTCGAAGACAGGCGTGAACTCTCTCCGAACTGGCCTGCGCTGACCACCTCCTCCAAACGCACCCAGGGGCCTCTGTCATGGCCGTGCGTCCCTCCCGCCCCTCTGCATGGCTGTCTTCGAAAAGTCGGACCTGCACATCAGGCGAGGGAAAGTAAACAGGCACACAATAAGGTCAGTCATCAGTCCATCAAGTCTTCAACAACACATGTATCCTTACCCCTTTCCATTTTCTGCCTAGCCTAACCAGGACATGCGACACCTTAAAACAATGGTTTACTCGGAGGGGTGTGGGATTCTTTACCTATTCCCTGGCCACAAACTTCTTCAATGTGGTCCTTGACACCCAATCCTGCCATCCTGTCCCGTCCAGCTCCTTGGTAAGCTCCGAATTCGCCGCACCGCAAGATCCTATAGGGCCCCATCCACCTTTTGTCGAGTTTCCTCGACCATTGTTTTTCCAAGGAGGAGCCATATAGCAATAAGACATCCACCACTGCCAACGGCTCCTTCCTTACTCGCGCCATCTGGTCCCATCGCATCTTATCCTCCATGCGGCTCCTTTCTATCTGACCGGTGGCCTCTCGCAATCTCTCTTCAGCAGCTCCCACTTGTCGAGCCCGGATATCGAGCAGCTCCTCGAAGGACAGATTTACTTCCAAGTCGTGGCGCCTCCAGGCTTTCATGAAGCTTTCTATGGGAAAGGTGGCATGCCTCCCATACCATAACGTGGTTGGCGCGTACTTGGTTGTTCTCTTTACCGTGACATTCTCCACGAAGAAAGCTGCTCGCAGGAACTTCGGCCACTGACTAGGTTTGCCTTCTGTCCAGTTGGCCAAGAGATTCGTGATGGTACTGTGCCCTCTTTCCAGAGGTGCGTTCGCCTGAGGGTGTGCGACAGTAGTATAGTTTGCCACTGCGTCGTACCCCGCAAGCAAGGTCCGCACCTCGTTACAGGTGAACTCCGATCCTTGATCCATCACAAACTCTTTGACAAAGGGGTAGCGCAAGTAATACTCCTCGATGCAATTTGTCAAAACTGGGTCAGTTTTTGTACGGATAGCTCGCCCGTCCACAAACCCAGTAAGGTTATCCCGTGCATCGAAGATGTAATTACACCCATTCTCCCCAGCTGGCATGAATAGCAGGTCCAGGTGTGCAGCCGCACCCACTTCTCTCTCTAACCTCGGGTGTAGAGGCTCCCCTGGTCTTTGCGCCGACCTCTCCTGATAGGGTACACAAGACTGACAGTACTTGATGACCATAGTCAGCATCATATCCCAATGGTACAATTCGCTTATCTTTGCGCACGTGGCACCTATCCCTCTGTGCCCCCCTGCTATACCATCGTGTAGGGCTGCTATAATATCGATTTGCCGGTTCCTCTCACATACAATCCTTTTGGGGTTCCCGACCTGTCGCTTTATGAACAAATGTTCATCCCTTACCACATAGAGGTGCCTTATCTTCTKCGCCTTGGCACTCGCGTCTCTATCCCTCATCTCACAAGACAGGAGTAGCCCCAACTCCAAGTAGATTCCATCATACTCTTCTGCCCGAAAGGCTTCCTTGATTTTTCGTTCCTCGAACTCATCATCCCGGCTTTCAGGAATAAAGTCCTCACTTTCCATAGGACTGAATGAGTTCTTTTGATCAAAGTCTCCCTGCAAAAGCGTGTTGGTGAGTAGATACATTCCTCCCATCAGCTGCTCATGCTCCTCTACCTAAGTTGGGCCTTCCTCTATCGTCCTCACTTCCTCCGCCAAGTTGTGAGTGTCTGCCAATGCCAATTTCATCATCAAGTGGACATCTTTACTCCCCCACGGATCCTCCTTCTGGGAGGGCTTGAGGACCAACTCCTCCTTTTGCTCGTACCCCCTAGGCGCTAGCCATATGGGGTGACCGACACAACTAGGCACCCGCAAGGACTATTCATTTATATGGAGGCGGACATCCTCTTCCTGATCCAAGAACCCATCAACTGCCGGAGTGTCTTCTATCGACTCCTGATCCGATTTATCCCAGTTGATGTGGCTCAGCCCATCTGCCATGTTCTTGTCCCTCGGAATCCTCTCCAGCTCAAAGTTAAACATCCAAATGTACGTCAACCACCTTGCGACGGTTGGGTCAGATGGAGTATAGTTCTTCAGGGAACAAGCGAGCGCAGTGGGGTCCACCCTTAACACGAACCTTCTGCCAAAAACATAGTTTTGGAAGATCCTCAGGCAGTGGAGTACTGCCAACGTCTCCTTTTTAAACTGAGAGTAGTTCCTCTCAGTCGTATTAAGAGTCTGACTCTCAAACCTCAGCGGTCTCTCCTTCCCCTCAGCATCCGCCTAAACCAAAACTCCTCCCAAGGCAGTAGGTATCGCGTTCGTCTCAATCATGAATGACTTCTCCTCAATGACTTTGTAGTTTGGCGCCCCCAACACCAGACCCCCTTCTTTAAACTCTTCCTTCATCAGCCTCACAGCGTCTTCTTGGTCTCCACCCCAAACCCATTCTTGGTCTTGACGCACCAGCTTCCTTAGGTGCTCAGTCTTGGCGGCAAAGTTCCTCACGAAGCTTCTMCAGAATCCGCAAGTGCCAAGGAAGCTYCTTACGTCCGTTATCGAACGGAAGGGTATTGGCCATTCCACGATTTTGTCCGTCTTCTTCACATCAAGCCTCCGGCCATTCTCATTGCAGACAAAACCCAAGATGGTTGCCTCCCTCATACAATGCTTAGATTTTGGGCCACTGGCCGTAAGGTTGTATTCTTCCAAAAAGTTCAGGACTTGATCAAGGTCTTGGACGTGCTTCCAAACAAAACGTCTTACGTCGGGCATCACTTCGTCTTCCTCCCTTTCCTTCGGGCCTTTAACCGCCAAGTCATCGATATAAGGCTGGGTGATGTGTGGACTGACCGTCTGCATGGCTCTAATCATATGCCTTTGAACCATTGCCACTGCATTCGTCCATCCCTGAGGGGCTACATTCATATGAATTAGCCCCCTGGGCGTATGCATCGCCGTTACCGGCCTGTCTGGCGGGTATACAGGAAACTGGTCATACCCAGAGTAGAGGTCTATAAGCGAGATTATAGGCCCTCCTGCACACGACTCTGACAATGCGTCCGCGTTTGACAATCCTCCCGCATCACGCACTGTCACGGCATTTAGCCGCTGTAAATCCTGCACCCATCGCAACGTCCCATTTGGCTTAATGAAACAAAACGAGGAGGAAGCGTATGGCCCGCTGGAATAGTCGGCAACATTCGTGCGCATCTTGCCATCCAGGTAGTCCACCACCATCTTCTCCTCATCCGGGTTGGGGTACCGCGCGCCTCTCAAATTTCATGGCTCATGTGGGATTGTGTGGATCCGAATCATCGGAATCCTGTCCACATCCAGCCTTCCACGTTGATCATCACTGAATGCATATGCGCAGTGCCTTCTCTTCATCAACCCCACCATCAGAGTTCTCTCTTGGGGCGAAAGAAAGTCAGGCTCTCCAATTATCAGCTTCCCTTCGTTCTCATCGTTGATACGGCACGGACCACTGGCTGCGTCCTCCCTCATGCACCGTATCAACCCTCGCTCCCGCTCATAGTAGGCCTCCTCATCTTCAGTAACGAGCAAGGGAACTGGGCGGCACTTTTTATCTACCGTTTTGTACCGCCTTTGGAAGCCGTGCTGAAGCCGTCCCCTAAAAAAGGTCGGCTTACCGTTCGCGCATGTGCCATTGTCGGACCTCCCCTTCCACTTGGAAGCCTATAAACCAGCTCCACCTCTCCCACCTGAGGGCTCTCTAGAACCTGCTCCCTCAACGCTTTAATGGCCTCAGGGTCTGCCATGTCATGCGCTGCCACCACTTCCATAGCCTTATTGACATCAGTAAGGCTTAGCGTCAACACCTCAGTCCCTCCTCCCTCCTCGGGCACCTCCCAGAGCCTCCTCCGCTCGTTCTCGGATTCTTCGAAGGTAAACAAGCCAAGGTTGGGTTTGTTCCTCCCACTCCCTGGCCCCGTGTTCCGGCAAGTAATGACCTCATAGCTCCCGCAGGCCAGATCGCACAGGAGCAGGATCATCGTTCCATCGTGCTTATTATAAATCAGGGTCTCTGTGCGGCACAGGAACGATCTCCCCAGGAGGATGGAGTGGTCGACATCTGGCATGACGAAGAAGCAGGTCATCGCCCGTACTTTCCCAATCTCTATAATCACATTCGATGTCGTACCACAAAAAGCCGCTTTGCAGTTAGCGCCATGCAGCATACCATGGTCCGAACGGTCAATCTCCATCCCCAACATCATTGCTTCTCTTTCCCTGATGATGTTCATTTTTGCGTCCGTGTCCACCATCCCGGTACACTTCTGGTTCTTTACCACCAAATCCACCTGGCCACACGCCACACACTTCCATTTCATTCTCGTCCCTACCTCAGTCCATTCTACCTCCCTAGGCAGGATCGTACTTAGATAGACATTGGGTACTAGCCTGCGCGAGAGCCGCCCCTTCAGCCCGTCACGGAGCCTTGGTGCTGAGGTTAAAATATCCTTTAAGTTCATCAGGTCATTATGACCTTCTAGGAGCCTATCCACCATTCGCTCCACATCGAAACCCTCCTCCAACCGAACTGCGTACTTCTTCTTCTTAGGTACGCTGTCAGGAAGGTTTGGCTCGGCTTCCCCTTGGGCCCCTCTTTTCTTGGCCCTTAGCTCCGTCCGTCGATCCTCCTCTTGCCGGAGCCTCTCATCCTCCTCGTCGTCATCCTCATCTTCTTCCGAAACCTTCACCACCTCCTTCCTGCATCCTGGCTCAGGTTCCTTTCGAGGGGGTGCCTGGCTGGGCGCCTGGCTGCGCTCTTGACTGGTCCCCGCCTTGTTCTGGCTCCTGGTCCGCGCTGCCTGTGGCACTCTTCCAATCGAGGTGGGGGGTCTATAGGTCATACCTGACCTAGGGCCCACCCCCACGGTCGCCACTCTTGAGTATCCCTGTTGCCCTAATGAAGTTTCGGGCCCGGAGTCATATAGGAGGACTCCGGGGAGGTTGGCCTCCCACTCCCGGGTCTCCTCATATAAGACCGACTACCGACCCGAGAGAGAGAGAGAGAGGGAGAGAAGGCGAAGGAGAGAGAACACTCACCTCGATAGAAGGAAGGAGACCGACTACCGACCCGAGTGAAACGCACCCTCACTATGAATGTATCAGCCGGAAAGATAGTTGATATACATTCATTATTTTCATTATTATTATTATTCATTAGTAATAGTTGTAATAGTATTAGTATTATAGTGATTATATCGACCACGGCTCTAGCTACAAAATACAAAAAGTGAAGTTGGTGGGGGAAGCAAGAGTAGAGGGGATGGCGACCGGGATAGCAAGGAGAAGGGAAGGCGTATACGGATACTCGATCGACGACGAGCTCGGGCTCGACCGAACGAGCAAAGGCAACAACAAAACGCGCGGAGGGATTGAAGGAGGAAGGCAAGTGAAAGAGAAAGGCAATCACACGAGGAGTAGAAGAGAACGGCCGCGCGGAAGAAGGAAAGATGCGCAGGGAAGAAGAAGAAGGAGAAGAAGAAGGAGGAGAAGGAGAAGAGAGAGAAAGGGAGAAGGAGAGAGAGAAGGAGAGTGCATAGCCTTGGTACACGTAGCGACTGCGTGTTGGGGAAATGAGGTTGTAAGTGATGCATGAGATTTACCTGGTGCTTGAGGCGAACAACATTTGGCCGAGATCTGCTTGTACTTCGGGGAGCTGTTGTCGTCATCTGCGGCATTTGTGGGTAGGACAGGATCCGCCATTCGTAGTCTGGGCATCGAGCGCCAGATAGGATATCAACTCTGGTTCTTCGTTGATAATGAAGGGAATATTTCAGCATTGTCAAAATTGAGTTTTTGCTGTGCTCTTATTTGGTGAAATTCGTGAAGCAATTCTTCTGTTGATTCGAGATCACGACTATCTGGTCTGTGTATGTGATGCCGTTTGATTGTTGAAGATTGCTATTGCTCATTTTTATTTTTATTATTATTATTATTATTATTATTATTATTATTATTATTATTATCTTTGTAGCACACCGAACATGTTGGGCGCCCCACCGAGCAGCCGAACGTGTTCGGTTGCTCGGCCGAGCGCGAACATGTTCGGTTGCTCGGCCGAGCGCGAACATGTTCGGTTGCTCGGCCGAGCGCGAACCCAAAATGTTCGGCCGAGCGCAAATTAGGGGGCTGCCGAGCGCGTCCTCATGTGTATGTGGTGTGTGGGGTGTGTGTGGGGTGTCTATGGGGTGTCTATGGGGTGTCTGGGGGTGCGTGTGTATGGTGTGTGTGTGTATGTATGTTTAGGAGTGATGAGTGATGCCCCCAGGGGCCCCCAACCCCTATATATATAAAAATAAATAAAAAATTTAAAAAAATAAAAATCTTCGGGCTCGGTCTATTTTGGGCCACGTTCGGGCTCGGTACCGAGCGTTCGGGTTCGGTCACCGAGCCCGAGCGCGATGCTACACAGATTATTATTATTATTAGTAGTAGGTGCACGGTAATCCTGGGGTACACGTGGCATCTTAGTGTGGGGTCGAGGTTGTGAGTGATAAGAGAGACATACCTGGTGCATGAGGCGAACAGCACCGGCCGATATCTGCTCATACTTCGGGAGAGTTGTTGTCATCAACTTCGGCATCGTAGTATAGGCTAGAAAGGATCTGCCATATGTAGTCTGGGCGCTGAGAGCCAGATAGGATATCAACATTGGTTCTTCGTTGATGATAATGATGAGACTATTCCAGCATTGTCAATCATGAGCTCTTGGTGTCTTCTTATTTTGTGAACTCATGATGCAATTTTGTTGATGGTTCAAAGTCACGACTGCCTGGTCTCATGTATATGATGCTGTTTGGTTTCTGAAGTTCGCTATCGCTAATTTTCACTGGCAATTATTATTATTATTATTATTATTATTATTATTATTATTATTATTATTATTATTATTATTGTGCAAKCAGACTCACTTTCATTCACACTTTCATGCATGTAAACAGTAGCGCAGCAAACTGGCAACATGCGGCCACTCAAAACTCAGAGATATGGCATCTAGATACGAGTTCACTTCCAATTGGGTATGGCCACTTAGCGCCCAAACGACTCTCTGTTTGCATACATCGGGTCACCTTGGATATCCCACACGCACTCACTCTGTATCTCACACACACACGCACACTACTAACGCTAACACTACAGCGGATATGGCCGCCCTATTACTACTAACTATGGCTACTATCTCTCCCTCAAGCCCACTTCGTCTTTGGGCGCGCTGCAGACCACCTCGCACAGTACGCTGTAGCAGCGCTTCCGCATGGCTTACGCAGAGAATGAATGAATGGTTGGGCGCTGACGCTTGATTTATACTTTTGTGAATCGTTGGTCTGCCCCTTTCCGTCGGCCCATGGTGCACACTGTCCTTGTGGTACTTGATGGACTTGACTGGGACTGTCTGAACCGCACCGCTGATTGCATGGGGATGCACTGCCTACTTACCGCTATCGTATTGTGAACGTACTGCAGTTGGTCCACCTCTAGCCCACTTGCCTCTGGTAAACTGTAGCAGCTACGACCTTGACCTTCCAGGATTGTAGCAGCTATGACCTCTACTACAACCTTGACCCCTACTGGACAGACCTACAGATCGACCCCTACATCTACACAGACCAACGACCAATAAACGAACAGACAGACAACATAGACAGACAGACAGACAGGACTGACAAACAGACAGACAGACAGCAAAGACAAACAAACGGATGAACAAACAGATAGAATGACGGACAGACAGAAACGACAAACAGACAGACCGAGGCAAACAAATGAACGTGGCACACAAACAGTAACGGTGACACAGGCAAGTGACATTCACACGGACCCTGTGAAACACAGTCACGGTGACACACATGCATGCACAATGAAAACACACGCACACACTATGACAAACATTAAGACAATGTGACACACACAGTCTCAGTGACACATCCACTGTGACATACGCGCATACATAGTGAAAACACATTCACACAGTGAAAACAGACATTGTGACACACACAAAGTAAAACAGACATTGAGAGACACACACGGGCACAGTGGAACACACACAGACACTGTGACAAACGCGCAGACACTGTGACAAAAGCACAGACACAGTGAAACACACAGTGGACGGTAACACATACACCCGAAAAACACAGTCACACAGATACATAGTCACACGGATGTACAGTGACACAYATACAMAGATATATGGCRATACACAGATAYGCAGTGAMAACAGATACACAAGTGGCACGGACACGCAATGACACAGACATAGTGAAAATTGTGACAGATGCACAGTGCACAATGTCACGCAGGTGTACGGTGACACAGTCATAGTGACACCTACACAGTAACACAGGGGCACATACACCGTGACACAAAGGGATACGTATACACAGAGAGAGGAAGAGAGGGACAGAGAAAGAGAGAATGAGAAAAATGGGAGAGGGATACGTNACACAGGGGCACATACACCGTGACACAAAGGGATACGTATACACAGAGAGAGGAAGAGAGGGACAGAGAAAGAGAGAATGAGAAAAATGGGAGAGGGATACGTACCTATGTGAGTGAATGATCGACTATGGTGTTGACGCCATGCACATTGGTCATCGAGATAGAAGTGAGCCTGTCGCGTGAATGCGACTGTAGCTAGGATAGTAGAGTAAAGCATGGGCTTGGGCGCGGACAGCGGGGCGCCAGTGGCTATGGCGAGGAAATGCGGAACAGCAAGCATGCGTGCAAGGATGTGTGTGTCTACATGCGTATGTGGGACATCTAAGGAAGATCCTAGTCGGATGAGAGTGTGTTGTGTGTATGTGCAAACAACTTAGTAGGGTGCAGCGAACGAGGAGATACCCTGTTAAGGGCGATGTGTCACAACCACGATCAAAAGAAAGCTGACTCTGACTATATTCCTGGTCAGGTTCATACCTATGAAGTTTCATGGATACCTGGTGCCAGATCAAATTGTCGTTATTTCATCCTTTCCTGTAATTACTTGATTTTACTGTTATTATTATTATTACTATCTTATTTTTTTATATTATTATTATTATTATTATTATTATTAACGAAATGATAGGCGAAGAATGCGCGTCAGGAGATCTGTTGATCCGGACTTTGGAGAAGGAAGCACCTGCGGTAGTAGCAAAACTTAGAGAAGGACCAGTCACCACTCGAGGTCACAAAGACGAGAAAGATTCGTGGGGAGCGATAGTAGGACCAAAGGAGGAACTAATAACAATGGCGGTTGAGGGAGGCCGGGACACCGTGATGAGCTTAGTGGAATCTTGGGAAAGGAAAGAGTTGCGATGGATGGTAAACCAGATGCAGGAAAGAAAGGATGAGGACCAGGAAGGGAATGAGTTTTTCTATGTCCTGACATATGAAGGGATTTTTCGAGAGATCGGGTTGTTGCTGGTAGGAAACAAACAACCTATGGAAGTCAGCATTAAGATAAGGGAAGGGGCCGAAAGGTACGTCCTAAGAGGCAGTCATTTGTTCCGAAGAGAAGCAGGTGTTATGCCTAGAAGAGTTGTGTGCGAAAGATCTAGGCAGTTAGAAGTTATCCAGGTGATGCACGACGGATTAGCCGAAGGACATCGATCGTCCAAAGGAACTCTTGCAAAGATAACGCCACTTTATTATTGGTCAGGCATGGCAAGCATGGTCGCCATATACTGCCAGACATGCCTTATCTACCAAGAACGAAGCTCGACATGTGCCTTTGAGCCGCTTAGACCTACGCGCGTACTAGGGCCGGGACATCTGGTCAACCTTGACCTTACGGTCATGTCTGTATCAACAGATGAGTACATGTATATTTTAGATGCGCGAGACAGCTTGAGTGGGTTCGTGGAGGCGGTCGCTCTCAAGAAAAAGACCGGGA